CATTTTATTTTCTTAATTATTTCATATATCAATTATTATAAATGTTTCTTCTTCTTATCTGTCAAATTTCCAATCATACCCCTACATACATGGTTACTTTATTTTTTATATTTTATAGGTTTTGCGTTTGTATTTTAATATTCATATATTTTTTTTTTGGAACGATAGAGATATCTATAAATAAAATGCACAAAAGTGCAAATGTACAACCCCTAGCTGAACTGCGCAGCCAACAGCTGAAAAACTGAGAGGACAGATTCGGAGATCGCCTAGAAACCGACACTAGCAAAGCTAGAATACAATCGGCACCACAAACTACCAACACTGAAAACGCTCCCAAAAGGAGAATAAGGACGACCTCCACAGGGTAATACACGCTCACACTCGGGCAGTACACGGCCAACGGCCCAAACCAAAAACACAAGACACACACAATACAATCACGAAAACTAAAATAATAACACAAAAACACAAAATTAAATACATCTAATTGCCCTTCCCCAGCGAACGAGTAAGCCCGGACTAGCAGTGAACGATTGACACAAGACCAATCGTAAAAATATAATTAATTTGATATATCATATAATTATATCATATATGATATATCAAATTAGTTATATTTTTACGATTTTGATTTGACATCCACATTATATATATAATACAAAACATTAATATATATCCTTATAAATAAAATTTAAATTTATTTATCAAACCTAATTATAAAATATCAAATAAAACTATACATTATATTATATAATTATTTAAATTTATGTGTATTACTATACAATAAAATTGTTATTTTATTAGGGAAAAAAATATAAACCAAGTATGAACATAAAATTAATATAAATAAATACTTTAAAATTTTATGTCTCAACCTACATAAAGACTACTTAGAAATTGAACATTAAAATGATCTTGAAAAAATAAATAACTAAATAAACATTATAATTAAAATAATAAATCATAAAGTTTAAATATTACACTCATAGACATTATAGTTAATAAATATTATATATGTATCTACATCCCAGTAATTTGATTATTAATTAATTTAGTTTTTTCAAGTTTTAATATATTGTAATTATGTTGTGTGTGGGTAAATTATCATTTTGTTAAATAAGAGTATAAAATATATGTATTATTTTAGCTAATTAAATATTTTATTTTTTAATTATTAGTTATATCTTTAAGTTCTTATCATTTTATTATAAGAATATAAATTTCTTCACTTCTTTATTTTTATACAAATATTTAATTTCTCAGCACCTATGTTTTGTTCACGTGCGTTATATTAAATGTAGAATAAAATAATTATTATTATTTACTTTTAACAAAACTAAATATATATCAAATAAAACAAACAACACTTCATAAAATATTTTACAGATTTGAAATAATATTAAAAAATTACTTTCTTATTAATTATTCATAGTTTTTTATACAATAAGAATTTCATATTTTTCACTTTTTCTTGCACAATTAGTTTTTTATGAAACATCATGTAGTTCACGGGCTTTGTATTATTGTTAGTTATGTAAAAAAAAAATGCTAAATTATAATTTTTTTTTTCCTATTAAAAAATGAAAGTAGGTTCCACTATAGTTACATATAACATTTTTTTTTTCCGAAACGATAGAAGAAACATATAAAAGGCGCACAAATGTGCGGAATTACAAACTGGGAGGCTAGACTGAAGTCCGCCTAGAATCGCTGGCAACGCCAGAATAAAACCTATCTCAAACACCGAACAACTAGAAACTGGCTCCCAACGGGAGAAAACCACAACTAGAACACAATCACAAAACTAAAAGCTCCCCTCAAAGAGAATGCCTAGGTGTTGGCTCCCCACAGGAGAATAAATATAACACCCAGGTAAACAGGGGCCAACGGCCCAAACCAAAAACACTAAAACACAAATGAAAACAAAAGACACAAAACTCGCACAACACAACACGAACGAGACAAACAACTACAAAATAAAATAAAACGTCCCCCATAACAGTCGAATCCAAATGTCAGCCGAATAAACCAAAACCGAAGCCAGCTTCGGAGAACCAACCTCCGCCCACCACTGCATAAGGCCTAGCAAGGCGAATGCTCGGCCATCCAACACTAACCAAGGGCTTAGCCCGCACTCCACACAATTGTAGGAACAACCGACCTCCAGCCGAACCGACTCCACCACAATACTACCAACGCAGTCTTAGGTAGCCTCAACCAACCCGACCCGGCAGCTGAAATAGAAGAGGAAAGTGCCGAAAGCCTACAATGCTAGGCATCGTCCAAATGACCCAACCAAGAGAGCCATCTTATCAGTCCAATCCCCAAAAGCAGCCAGCAGCACCTCAGAAAACCGAGGAGATGAGACCAAAACGATGGAGGCCAAGATTCTCAGCCCCTGGACTAAAGATCTCAGCCTACCAACGAGAAGCCCTCCACCTGTCGCAGCAAATGAAACCGAGACAAAGCAGCAAAAGAGAAGCTTACCACCGTACGACGCTGCCGATCATCAAGGACGGAAGCTTGCCTTCCCAGGCACTGCTTCACCGGTGCAGAAGGACAGAGCCACAGATGACGGGAAGAGGAGTGAGACCGATGAGGCAACGACTCAGCCATGGACACCTCGACGGACGAAGCCACAACCAAGCGCGGCCACTGCGACCCGAACCACCTCAACCGCCGCCAAACCCTCACGAATCTGGAACAAGGCCAACGAATGGAGACGAGCGCAGGTCCGACTTGAGTGAGCGGTGGAGGCCGTCGACCGACGGCTCCAGACCGCCGTTAAGGGGGTGACGACACTGCGCGAGTTGGGCGACTAGGGTTGAGGGGATTTGGGGCGACGGCACTGCGCCATGCGTTTAGATGGTTTTTCCTACATATAACAATTTAACACTTGTTATTTAAACTTTTGCTCAAATTTCAGTCAAAATGACTATTAAAATTGGAAACGTCGGTCCTTTGACCGTTAAAATTGTCATTTTTGACGGTAAAATAAATGAAATTGCAACAATTTTTTTTTTTTTGGTACAGGGACCTTCCGGTTTCCGGATCCACAGGAGAACCGACTAATCCGAAATCGAGCCGGGTAGGACCACAAGGGCGGCAAAGCTCTCCCTCAAAATTGCAATAAATTTTTTAATTTCTACTCAAGATTCATCCTAAAATATATATATTTGGAATTTTCATGGCCAAATAACTAAAATGTCAGCAAAATTTTAAATTATAAAACTCAAAATATGTAGTATGTCACTTCATTGTGATCTAAATTGCTATATTCATAACCTAATACGACCAAATTTGCAATTTAGGCAGCTAGAAAAAAATTTTAAAGCCATTAATCTAAACAAAAAAATAAGGAAAAATTACATTTTACCTACCTAAGTATTCGAAAATTTACACTTTGCCCACAAATTTTTATTTTTTTTACACTTTGCCTACCTAACTTTGACTTTTTGTAAACTTTGCCATTTCTGGTCACTGTCGGCGACACGTGGCAATAAAGCACAAAAGCCACGTATTGGTTTATGAGGTCGGCGGTGACCGGAAATTGGCAAAGTGTTTAATAAAATGCTTCTTTTTATTTTCGAAAACTGATTCGAAGTGCTACCGTGAAAATCTGACTTTAGTCTGAAAAACCGTTAATTTTAAACTGATAATAAAACGGTTATATAATATATTAACCGACTAACGTCGGATCAAAAACTGAGTTTAAGTACTGAAAATTTTTGCGGAAATGTAGCGTGGCTAAAACATAACATAACATATACATGTCAAAACAAATATCCTGAACAGCTCGTCAGCTCACTCCTCGTCCCCGACCCTGTGACTTGAAAAACATGAAATACGTGGGGGCGTAAGCACTAAAACACTGTGCTCCGCAGAAACTCATACTAAAGTTTCAGATCAGCAGTTCAGGTGGGGACTCAGACTGGGTATTACATTGATTATAATTACGCTACCATGTTTGAGGTATGTATTATCAATATCTGCTCGGAATGATCGCCGGTCCATTCTGGGTTCTAGTGGCCTTAATCTGCCCACTAGAGTGTGCACATGGTGTCCGGCATTTTATGCTGGCAGATGTTTAGTTATCAGTCAAGTGATGATTATTACGATATCGGTATCAGTTCATGTTTATTCAGTACCGGTTTCAGTTTCAGTTCAGTTCAGTTATGTATGCCAGGATCATGATATTGTTATTATTTTCACTGTTTACTTCAGTATGAGTTTCTGCGGAGCACAGTGTTTTGGTGCTCACGCCCCCACGTATTTCATGTTTTTCAGGTCACAGAGTCGGGGACGAGGAGTGAGCTGACGAGCTGTTCAGGATATTTGTTTATATGTACATGTTATGTTTTGGCTACGCTAATGTTCCCGCTACAGTTTCAGTACTTTAAATCAGCTTTTGACCCGACGTTAGTCGGTTAAAATATTTATAACCGTTTTTATTATCAGATTAAAATTAACGGTTTCCAAAAAAGTCAGATTCTTACGGTAACACTCCGAATCAGATTTCGCAAAAGAAATATTTTATTCATTTTATTTAAAAAAAATCAAAGTTAGATAGACAAAGTGTAAAAAAAAAAACGAAGTTTTATGGGCAAAGTATAAATTTCCGTATAGTTAGGTAGGTAAAGTGTAATTTTCCCAATACTAAACTTTTGATCCTAAGGTTAGGTCCTGCTAGAATTGTAAAAGTGTAACCTTTTCTTGAATAATTTTTTTTTATTTATTTATAATTAGAAGTAAATAATATGAAATCTTTGGTGTGGTGCTTTTTCATCAAGTACATGGTACTATATGAATCCCTCTGCTTTTTCATGCTTCCATGACTCTAGTCCACCAATCACCATTTATTGCACCTCCAAAACACAATCTCTCCAAAAGCCTTTATATAAAGGAATATATCCCATCACATTGTCACACTCAACTCACACTCAATTACATCACACTGCATAATATTACTCACAAACTTTTTGTTCACACACACAACAATGGCACTCTTGTTCTCAACTTCATTTGCATGGGCACTTGTAAGCCTAATCCTTCTTGCATTTTCCTCACATTACATTGCTACACAAGCCGAGGCACGATCGTTTTTCGTGTTTGGAGACTCGCTTGTTGATAACGGCAATAACAATTACCTTATCACTACTGCCCGTGCCGACTCTCCTCCTTATGGCATCGACTATCCAACTCATCGTCCCACCGGCCGTTTTTCCAATGGTTTAAACATCCCCGATATTATTAGTAAGATTTCGTACAGTTGATATATATACAATCATATAATTTACACGCGTTTTTCATAACTATATCTAATAAGATAATTATGTCGTAACTTCTAGGTGAGCATATGAAAAGTGAGCCTACAATGCCATACTTGAGCCCTTTGCTCAAGGGTGAGAAGCTTCTAGTTGGGGCCAATTTTGCTTCTGCAGGAGTTGGAATCCTTAATGACACTGGCATCCAATTTGTATGTTTTATTGACTTACTAATTATTTTATTATCTGAACTCTTACTATTAATAGTAAGCCAATTGAATGACAGATTATTCCATGTTGTTTTTGTGTTTACCTTTAGAAGCTATAAATTCTGCTTTTACAAATCAAGCAATAAAAGGACATTGCTCAAATGAAGTAATGTTTTATTTAGACTTTTTTTTTTACATGATTACACACTAGCTATTGATTCATCTTTTAATTTTTGTAGTTGAATATTATTCGGATTGGAAAGCAATTAGAGTACTTCGAGCAGTACCAATCGCGTGTGGCGGACTTAATAGGGGCCGAGCAAACGAGGATACTTGTGAACCGAGCTCTTGTGCTCATGACTCTTGGCGGCAACGATTTTGTCAACAACTATTATCTAGTGCCGTTTTCTGCAAGATCCCGACAATTTTCTCTGCCGGACTATGTTTCGTATTTGATTTCCGAATACCGCAAGGTTTTGAGGGTAAAGTCGCTCGCATCTAAATAAATATCATTTATACTTATGTAGGAATGAAAAGAAAGTTAAAAGTGATTTTTTTTTTTTCACACTTGCAGAGGCTTTACGATTTAGGAGGAAGAAGAGTTCTTGTGACCGGGACGGGCCCAATGGGCTGCGTCCCGGCTGAACTTGCCCAGAGGAGTCGGGCCGGGGAGTGTGCGGTGGAGCTGATGCGAGCTGCGAGCCTTTTCAACCCACAGTTGACTCAGATGCTGGGCAGCCTCAACAGTGAGATTGGAGAAGATGTATTTATAGCAGCCAATACATATGCAATGCATATGGACTTCATTTCCAATCCTCAGGCCTATGGTAGGTATATAGTACAGGGGAGATTCTACGGTCCGAACTATTTCGTCGGAGTTTGTAACCGTTAGATCAACTATCCACGACGGTTACATGATGATCTAACGGTTACAAATTTCGACGGAATGGTTTCGTAATGGGACTGTAACATTTTCCGTGATTATATTTATTTATAAATAAAGAAAACATGGTAATAAATAATTTGATGAGTGAATGAAAGTTGTTATCTTTTATGCAATGCAGGATTTGTGACATCAAAGATAGCATGTTGTGGGCAAGGCCCATACAATGGAATTGGGCTTTGCACGCCAGCCTCCAACTTGTGCCCAAACAGAGACGCCTATGCCTTCTGGGACCCATTTCACCCCTCTGAAAAGGCCAACCGAATTATAGTCCAACAAATTTTAACGGGTGACAAAGCCTACATGAGGCCCGTTAACCTCAGCACCCTAATGCCAATGGATTTTCATAATATATAAGCCCATATAAAATTATTATTATTATTATTATTATTATTATTATTATTATTATTATTATTATTATTATTATTATTATTATTGTGCTTGTTTTTTAATAAGTATTGAATGTCGATTTATGTCCTAATTATTACATCTAAATCGCCTCATTTAATTTCGTGTTTCAATGTGTAATGGATTTATTTTTTTCTGTGGTGAAGAATGAATAAATTTTTTGTTGTTCCTTTTTCCCTCGTAAAAGCGTGTTGTATTTCGAATTTTGACATGGAAAATGGTGAAACAAAATGATGTCACAATGACGAATTTAATTGAAATATCACACGAGTTGGTTATATCAAATCTATTGTGAGGAGGGAAAATAAAATAAGATTGGATTTCAATAAAATAATAATAATAATAATAATAATCTGGACATAAGTCTGTGTATTTATTATATAATTATTGCTCCGCGGTTAAATTCGGTTTGAGTTTTTGGAATCTCAATAAATGCCAACGAATTTTCACCTAATAAATCAAAGCAAAATTTATTGCGAAATGATTCGGAATAAAAAGAGTATTGAGTTTTGTGTTGGAGATAATATTTTTCATTTTTACGTAACCCGTGCGATGCACGGGCTAGTACATGTTTTGAAAAATTTTAAAAAATTAAAAGGTCATTAATTAATAAGTTATTATAATACGTATGACATTCATAAAGAAAACATAAAATCGTCATTGGTAAAAAGTTATACATTATTAAAAACCTTCTTATATACAACGTTGTTAGTTTGATTACTGGGTAACTCATCGTTCGCACAAACTAATATTTTCAACTCATTCCTATTAGTAACACGTGAAACATCGACGTATAACTGGCCATGACTAAAAACAGGTTTTTTTCAAAAACATTCCAACATGTGATAAAGACTGACTCTGATTCTTGTTTATGATATCTTTCTTCCCATGATTAAATTCAACGACATAGTTGATGATTGCATACACCTCGAAATGCTCCCATATTTGTAGAACGTATTATGCCTTTAATAAATGCACCCTACAAAATAAATTTATAAATATTAATTAAAATATTTTTTCACAAAAGCAAATAAATTATTCAGAATACTAATATAAATAAATTTATAAAATAAATTTATAAATTTGATATTACTAATGAAAATATTTACACATGAAACAGTATATGGAATGCGTTTCAGCACTCTCGTTCGTGTTGCGTTTCAAATATTCGGACTGCTTTCAATCGAAAATAAGTTTTGTTTGTTCTACTCAAGGAATTGAGTGTATCACAGACCAGCGGCATGATATTATTGTTGTATTCTAAAATTTATCTGTATAATTTTTTTTTTCTGAACGCCGTGAATGACGTGAAGAAATAACTGTGGTAGTGAATATCATTTTATATACGTTGGTACCGAAAAAAGTGATTGATAAAAAATTATTTAAATAAAAATAAATTGTTGCGATTTTATCATATAAATGATTTATAGATTTATATGGAGGCTTAAAAATAGGAGATTTATTCCATAGTATATATCTATTGCAATTAATGCTCGATGTTATGTTAATGTAGCCACAAAAAATCAGAAATCTTGGCGTGAAATAATGATTTATTTCATAAACAATTGCTGTTAATCGGAAATAAATAAGAGCGATTTTAAGAAATTATGTGCAATTAATGCTTGTTTTGTTAATGGAGCCACAAAAATCGCTATGTAGGTTCCATACACAGCGGATATAGGAAATTTGGGTATGTACATTCCTTATCGGAAATAATGGCGTGAAAAAATAAGTTTTATTCCATTCCATACAAAAATTAATGTTAATCGGGGATAATTAAGAGTGATTTTATGAAATTATGTTAAATTACTATTTATAGTCAGTAATTAATGTTTTTGGCGGGAAATAGTTTCTAATAATTAATTAAGTTAATCCTTATTATATATTAATAGATATGATTAACATATAAGGATTATATTGGAAAATTAGTATTTTGTATTAATATGGTGATAGCAATAAATAAATGTAAATTTAACTGGAATGCACGTACAGTACACGTAGGTAATGTTTGTTCTTTTGTAAATCTCTCGGCAAACAGAAAATAAACATGATATAACATCTACAATATTGATGTTCCAAATCATTGAACGATTATTTTTTTAAAATGTACATTTTGTCTAGCATGCATATCGCATGGTTATGGCTTGTTTGACTTGTCCAAACATTCGACAAAGACAAAAGTTTGTGAATCCTACAATCTTTGAGTTACTTAAACTCAATTATTAGTTACATAAACTTGAATTCCCCGCCATTTCACCATATAATTAGTTTCTCATTCTACCTAATATGATTTTGGGATTTCATTCTAACTCTTCTACTTACGAAAATTAGAAGCGTAAAATCGGTACAAACAAAATTTTATTACAATTGCCCACATTTCTTACAATCCCCATATGAATGAAATTAATGCATTATTTCAATACTTGAGAGTTCCTACGAACCATCATTGCATCATGATAGATAGCTAAGAAAGCAGTAAATCACTTGGGTTGCCTCCCAAGAAGCGCTTGTTTTACGTCATTAGCTTGACGAACCTGAAGAGAACTCATCCGGGGTCCAGAAAGAAGTGACGGTCGTGCCATGCCTTCGTGTTTTCCAGAAGTGGTAGCATGGGAAGTTGGGCGAGAAGGCTGGCACAGTGTATCCGAATGGCAATGTTCTGGGCGAAGCAGGTTCGGGCACGAGCAATACCCAACTCTAGACGTAGAGCTTTTCCCACTCGAGCTCTATCGTCTTCCTCCGAAAATATAAGCTCATCAGTGGAGCAAGTCGAACTGAATCCTCCCAACTTTGTAACACAGTGTAAGGGCCTCGAAGACGGGTGCTCTAACTCGAAGGTGGGAGGTGGGACTTGAGAATCAAGCCCATGGATCTCCTCCTCTGAAATATCATCAATGTCTCGCTGGAGCTCATCATCTTCTTCTTCAGCCTCACACATTTGCTTCATCGTGCGGGCTTGAGTATCAAGCATAGGGTAAGGGACGTCGACTTGTGCCTCGATTGAGTCGATGTGTGCTGTAAGAATCTCCATCTGTACGCTCAGTCGAGCACATCCGAGCTCAATCTCCACATCTCGAGTGGTCTGGGCAGATATGCGAGCGAGGATGAGGTCGAGCTTTTCATCATAAGTCAAAGCAGCCTCCCGAGCTTCATTCTTATGTGTAGATTCGCCTTCAGCGGTGGGCTCGGGAGTGACACTGGTAACTCGATCCTCTAAGGCTTGCACGCGCTCCACAAGATTCTCGATTCTGGACTCCAGATTGCTCCTTCGGGCCGTTTGGGATGCTAGAAGAGCGAGAGCCTGGTCGAGCTTTGCATTGTACTCAGAAGAGTCCTCGAAAGACTCATATGGCTGCTCAATAGGCCCGTAATCCCACTGCTGCTCGTAGGGATATGATAAAGTCTGGCCGAAGTCCCAAGAATCATGGTAAGGAGGTGGTTGGGCACACTGGGCTGCGGTTTCTTCCTCCTGAGCTAACCGGGATGTTGAAAATTCATAGATACGGTCGAGCTTCTCGTTGAACTCGTGGGACTCGTAATGTTGCTCGACCGGGAAGGGATCTCAGTATTGCTCGGAAGAGTAGGGGTAAGACTGGACGTGGTACCCGGTGTGGTAGCCCGACTCGTCAACCCAAGGTTGGGTGTGCGAATAGGAAGAAGTACGGTTGTAGCTCATGATACCTGCACACCAAAGCAGAACAACCACACGTAGCCACGAAAAGAAAAGAAAAAGAAAACAGAAACAAGCAAGACAAAAAGAAAAACAAATATGCACAAAAGAGAGAACAAAAATACGAAAATCACAAAAACAAGAGAAACACGGAAAATAAAATCAATATCAAAACCAAATATCCTACTTGCCTTCCCCGGCAACGGCGCCAAATTTGTTGTAGCACAAATTATTCTTTTTACCGAGTACCGAATCAAAAGATTCGTTCCCCGAGTCGATCTCACGAGGAAGACAGTTCGGAATTCAGCTTTGGTATCGATCACACATAATAAGAAAATAAATCCTAAACATACTAATCAGATAGTGGGTTTGAGAAATTATCAGCTAAGAAATAAGAAAAAAGCATAATCTACCTAAAAAGATAAACGAAGTAAAGATGAAGAAGCTAGGGAGTCGGGGATAATTAATTCAAGTTCTATATGCAAAGCCGGTACATAAAACATTCTATTCCAGATTGACGCTCTCGCTTAGACATCTAGCGGTTCACTCCCAATAACTCTTCGTAACAAGGGATTAAACATAGACGAATAAACTCGAGCATACACCACAGGCCAATTATCCCATCCCAATACTTTTTCGTAACAAGGGACGGGTCATCGACAAGCGCGTATTTCAACCCAAAACCTATAGACTATTCAGTTACAAAATCGTCTACCTCATGTGAACCTAAGTCTACGACTTCTCCCCTTTCGGTTCTAAAAGTCGCTAATTAGACTAGAAGGTGTTCAATCAACTAATCATAGAAAATCAATAAAACCAAACTTGACAACTCAATATCCAATTGTTACCAATTACGAGATCGAAGTGTCACCCTTCGATTATATCAAACTATCAAGCTCAATTTTATCAATTCTGAATTAAATCAACTAACATAAGAACGAACAATTCAAGCCCGACAAAATGCAATTCAAACAAGAACAATCATCCCCTATCCCTAGCAATAAGAATTAGCTACGTAAAATCGATTCAACACAATCAATCATTCTCTCCAAATCAACCATTTCCAGGAATTGAATAAAAAGAGAAAAACTTACAATTAATCCCAAGTTCAAGTGTTGAATTCCAAATACAAG